TAATTTATCTCTCCTCTGAGCCTCCAAAGAAAATTCTGCATTCAGTCTTTATTGTAAATATTTCTGTACAAATTTGTCCTATCACTAAAAGCATTTAATATTTAGCAAGGGGCTTACACATGTTTATTACATTGAATTTAAAAGGATTTGGAGATGGAGCATGCAATACAAACTTCATCAATAAAGGAGGATTCAAGCCCCAATAGACAGTCAAAAATTATGGTAATATTTCTGAGTCATGTGAAACCTTTGTCAAACAGCTATGGTCTCAGAAACAAGATCTCTATACCATGGATTCTATCTATTTGAATAGATCCTCAGAGGAAAACTCTATTGGAATGTGGACTTTTACTGATTGAAACATGCTGCCATGAACGGGACTCACTTCACCTTCAAATGTGCTTATCAAACCAGTTTTATTTATCCAGTTTTGCTTCAAGAGCCTTATCTCACTGTGTCTAACAATTCTGAGCTATTATGTCATGAACTTTGGCCATTTCCAATCAGTCCCTACCTTGAAAGGCCCAGACTCTAAAATCCTATCTATATCCTACTTCTAATCCCCCTCTGAGATATCACTTAGGCTCTGTCAAGATGGTATTCCCTTCCTGCAGTGATTTTGAATACTTGGTTTTGTTTCATTAACTGGTGATCATCTGATATTTTGGATAATTCAATGCAATGATTAAATGTTGCCCCCCACCCCCTCCGCCCCATTCATATGTTGAAGCTCCAACCCCCAGTGTGATGGTATTAAGATGTGGTGCTTTTGGAAGGCAATTAGGTCATAAGGGTAGAGCCCTCATGAATGGGATTAATGCTCTTTTAAAAGAGACCCGAAAGAGCTTCTTTCCTTTTTCTAACTGTGAGGACACAGTGAGAAAACAATCATCTGTGAACCAGGAACCTAGCTCTCACCAGATACAGAATCTTCTGGCAACTTGATCTTGGACTTCCCAGCCTCCAGAATTGTGAGAAATAAACATTTGTTGTATATACGCCACCATTCAATGGCATTTTTGTTATAGCAGCCTGGAAAGACTAAGACATTCAGTGAAGGGGAGCTTTAGTGAAGAATTTCTTTACTATGCATGGATTAAATTTTCATGTCTTATGTCTAGGGTCTCCTGGCTTCACTAGAAAAGACTCTTCTACTGAGACGAAATAATCTGTTTTACTCAGGAGGAATAACAACAATTTTTAAAAGTCCAACTTGGCCTTTAAAAGAGAAAAGGGCAATCCAGTTTTAAAACTTTTTTGGTCAGTGAAGGGTATCAGAATATGCCACCCCAAATATGCCACTTTGGCATGTTGATTATTTTGAAAAACAGCAAGTGCAGGAAGAGGCTTTCTCTGAACTCCCATTATCTGCCTAAGGCAGAGTCCCCAAATGAATTAACTTGTCTTGAATCCCCTCCCTGGGAATTTTAGCTACCAGAGAAGATTGACTCTTGTCACAGGAGAGGAGACTAGAAGCTCCACACCCAGGCAAATTTTGTCACAAGCTAGAGATACCTCCCATCTCTTTTCCAGGGGTCTGTTCATCTTTCCTAAAAAGCATTCACTCTTCTCTAAGAGGCCTACATCCCCCTTCCCCTTGCTCTATTAAAATGGTATTTAATCTTAAATTCTAAGCCACCTTGGAAGTTACTCATTTTTCCTGGATATTTCCAAAATATGCATGAGGTATACTTGTTACTAAACATGTTTGTTTCTCCTTTGTTAACTTGACTTTTATTACCAGGGGTCTCAGCCAAGAACTCAGGCGGTAGAGGGAAATTATTTTTCTTTCCCTACATCAGCAAAGCTGTACTGCTGTGTAAAATGAATGTTTTCATTCACTTACTCACAGACTCACAATGTATCAGGCACTGTGTTAGGGAGGAAGGAGTAGAAAGGACATGATGATGAAAGGAAATAACTCAGATCTGGGGTGCCTACTGGAGCTGACTACCTAGGATGGAAAAATGAAGGAAGCACATACAAAACCATAACTCTTCTGTGGTCGGCAAACTGTGGCTTGCGAGCCACATGCGGCTCTTTGGCCCCTTGAGTGTGGCTCTTCCTAAGCCTTAGGAGCACCCTAATTAAGTTAATAACAATGTACCTACCTATATAGTTTAAGTTTAAAAAATTTGGCTCTCAAAAGAAATTTCAATCGTTGTACTGTTGATATTTGGCTCTGTTGACTAATGA